CCCGTGCCGGAGCTGCTGCACACAGGAATGCATAACAAAGAAGACGGGTCGAGTGTCCGCCGCCGTGTCCGTCGGCTGCGCGTTGGGAGCCAGCGCATAGGGTTTATAGAAGACGATGCCTCAAGAAAAAAAAACTGAACTAAACAGAAATTTTAATAAATAGTGTCGAGGTTGTTTAAAATGTCAGCCAGGTTAAACTCTTGAGAAGCAAGGAAAACCCAGCACAGAGAAACTAATGGATCCAAGTAGTATTATTTGGCGTAGCGCATCGCGTCTCTCGCGCAGCCGAAGCCTCGGCCCACGGTCCGCAATCCAGTTGAACGCGTGGACCAGTAGTCTGTTTTTAAGCGTGTGATGTTTCTTTGTACTGGGTGGACGCTCCCCGGCCGCCACCACCACCACCCCTTCTCCTTTCTCTCTTCCCACTCTCCGTCCTCCCCTTGCTCTTTCAGCCCAAGTACACGCTCTCTGAGCAGCGCGCGCGCGCGCGTGTGTAGCAGAGGTTTTTACGACCAATATCAAGGAGAGATTCCGCGCCCCTGCGTACCAGTACTCCAGGACCACCAGCACCACAACCACACCGCCAGAGCAGCCCTTGCCCGCCCACGCCCAGCCCGCACCGCTCGGCCGCATAGCAGCACTGGAAGAAAACATACTAAAACTAATGTGATGACCCCGCAGTAGTGTCGTCACGGGCGGCCGCCGGGGAGGTAGGCTACGGTCCGGGCCCGCGCCACACGGCTGCGGCCGCGTTGCCTACCGCGCGGTAGGCCGCCGGGGAGGTAGGCTACGGTCCGGGCCCGCGCCACACGGCTGCGGCCGCGTTGCCTACCGCGCGGGGGCCCCGCGGCTGCCGAAGGGCCCGGCCGGCTCGTAAATCTGAGGCATTCTCCGCGCCCATGCTGCCGGAGTGCTTCGGGTCGCGGCGGAAACATGTCCTCTTTTTTTTACGAGTCGTCCCGCCGCCACTCGCTCGTAAAATGATTTGCCATTCTCAGAATGCACTGCAAGCCGAGCTCGGCTGGCTCTCGGGTCGGTATTGCCGCAAGGAGTGCGGCGTGGCGCGGCGTGGCCCGGCGTGGCCTGGCGCGGGGTGGGGGCGGAGGGATGGCGAGCGTGATTGACAACCTCCAAACTCGCACGACGGCGCGGAGTCGATAGCAGCTACGGCTTTGTGTGGGGAAATAAAATGGCTACACGGGAGGGGGCGATACTGCAGCGCAGAGCAAAACCAGTCTGTTCGGTGAGAGGGGAAAGAGAGGGCAGTGGGGGGCGGCGAGGCGACTGCGACTGACGGGGGAGGGGACTGCAAGGAGGGGCCGCGGCCCGGCCCCACCCGGCCCGACAACGAGGCCGACAAGCCCAACGACCACAGAGCCACCTCAAGGCTCGCTGCAGGCTGCATCCCGAAAAACGATACGTGGGAGTGGGATAGCCGGGCCGGGCGTCAAAGGAGCCTCGGCCTTTTTGTTGTTGTTATTATTATTTTATTTTTTTCGTTTTTCGCCTGCCCTGATAAGAATACCCACAGCGGTGTTTGAAGAGGTACTGGAACAGGGAGCGACAAGAACGCCGAGGGGACGCAGGGGGAGGGGGGGGGGGTGCAAGGGCAGAAAAGACGGGAAGGGTATTGTATAAAAAGGTATTGTTGAACGAGTTGGCCGCAGGGTCAGTCCAGAGCGTAGGGTTGGAGCAACAAGGGGCCCACAAGGCGGGGGCGCCGAGAAGCGGTCAGGGTCCAAATCAACAACAGGGGCGGGGTGAGGACGGAGCCTCGGTAAGGGGAAAGGGAGGGAGGGGGGCCCACAGAAGCGGCCGATTGACTGTCCGATCTCCTTCTCCTCTCTCTCTAGGAGTGCACGAAGTGGGGAGTGGGGT